GTTTATCAAAGTAGCAGAGCATGACATTTTCATCTGATAAAGCCAAACATGTTGTTTGGTCTGACTGTACGATAGGAGTGGCTTCCCTGTACTCCCTGATCAAAGATGTACTTCCTTTATTGTGCAACATCACAGAGTTAAAAGCGAAAATAAGAACATTATTCGGCCCACGGCTTTTATAATGGCACTGTATTATTACACGAGTCTCTCACTTACTAATTAACTGCCGCATGTAGAGACATAAATGCCAAGTCCTTCACGTTTTACTCTTTTTCAATGACTGGTATCTGCAAATTGCTGAACTTCTCACTCGCACATCGAGCAGACTGTGAGAATATTTAATATTCCCTTTAAAGAGATGAGGACTGCAGCTTGATGTTTAAACTGCAGCACAGGCAGGATGTTGAAAATATGTTGGCAGGGCTAAGTCAAGTCCTTTAAAGGGCTTTAGCCACCGCTGTTGTCTCCAAACATCAGCTCTTCCTCAGCACACTGGCATTTCTCCTCCACCGTTTCATATGGAGGGATGTTTTTTTTACTGATGCTAATTTAGACATAACAGCGAGCGACACTGTAGCTTCCCCTCGTGCGGTAAAGAGTCTCGTGTACACACACAGAACACCAGGAATGGGAACAGAGACAGTCCAGCTAATGCTGATTTGCCAGCTGAGCTTTTAGAAGTCTGATCTGATCTGGCAGAAATGTACAGATTGTTTTAAAAGTGCCGCACTCAAGAAGCCAGCCGTAAAAATATCCATTATTGGTTTTATTCTAAACATTTAAGCTGAAGAATGTAAACTTGTTCAGTCGTGAACTTAAACATAAAAAAAAAAATGCCTGGGTTATTTTTTTTTTTTTAAACAGCAGGACTGTTTCATTATCTCATAGATGGCAGATGGAGGCAACGTAGCTGAGGTTATCATGCTAACACATCTGACTAAAGGGATTACGAGTTTAACAAGCATCTGCTCCGCTTAGTCAGCTGCTCTGTGCAGTGATTCAGCGATTTAAGTCTCCTCAGTGACATGTTTATATGTTATTCTGCACATTGGTTTGTCTGAGTGAGCTGTGTGTTTGTGTTTTGTAGGAGGGCTGCACCTGGGTCTATTTCTAGTGAATGGGAACGCAGAACGCGTGGAATGGCTCAGGCAGCGCTACGACAGCGGCGTTGAAGTGAACCTGGAGAAGGAGGCTGACCTGTCATCCGCCGTCAGCCTGTTACGTCTCTTCTTGCAGGAGCTCCCCGAGCCCGTCATCCCTGCAGGCTTACAGGCGCAAATAATGCAGCTCTATCAAGGTGGGTGAAGCTCTGTTATCCTACCAGCTGTCCAAATTGGCTTAATTTGTATCTCTCTGCATTAAAATGCTTGCTTTACCTTCTGGAATGTTCTGGCAACTTGACAGACTTGTAGTATGATTGCGTCATCAAAGCATGACCGGTGTCTTTCACACCTTTGCATCAGCCAGCTCACCTCCTATCGTAATAACTGCACGTCCCTCTGAACTGGTTTGTTTGCTCTCTTTTAGACTACAGCAGTGAGGAAGAGCTGGGCAGAAACATGAAGTATTTCCTTCAACAGCTGCCGCAGGTCAATTACAGCTTGCTCCGCTTCCTGTGCCGGTTTCTGTCTGGTGTGGCGTCTCTTCAGGAGGAGAGCTGGAGCATAGGAGCTCTCGCTGCTGTCTTCGGACCAGACATTTTCCAGTAAGATGCTTTTACATGGATTTAGTGTAGTAACACTTAATGCACCATGATATTGTGGCAGAAATGTGGGATATTCATATGGAATTTTATTATAGTTATATAATAAAATCTATATTAATGTAGACATGTATTAAATGAGTAGTGGTTGTTATTAAGCTATAGCATTTGTGCATTTGTATTTATCCTAAAAGGCTTCTTTGAAGTATTTGAAAGCACACTATTCTCACAAAATCTTAGAAATATAGTAAAGACGGTTTTACATTTCTTCCATTTACATGTCATGTGTAATTGTGATATTTACCTATCAAAATGACCATGTTCAGTCAGAAAACAGGGAATTCAATATATTAAAAAAAAAAAAAAAACAGGGAATTTTCTATTACTAAAGGATAAATATTATAATTTCTCACAGAAAGCTAATTGAAAACATCCACCCAAAATTTAGAGGTTAAATCACAGCAGTAAAAGGGTGTTCAAGAGTTCCAGTAAAGGACGAACAAACTGAAATCTCTTCTGTACATATTGCCCTTAACAGGAATTTTTCAAGTTTCTTTAACCTTTGGGGCAACAGGGTCAGTGTCAGACAGAGTGTTAGATACAGCGTGAAAGAAACCGCAATACCGCCAGAGCACTGAAAATCACCAACATGCTTAAAAA